AGTGATTCAACATACAAAATCAGTCAGTGCACCAGAGCATATTAACATAATAAAGAAAAAATGCCACATAATCATCTCAACAGTTGCAGAAAAAGCATTTGACAAAAATACACGTTCTCATGATTGAAATACTCAACAAACCAGGAATGTAAGGGAGATTTCTCAACTTGATAAAAGCTGTCTAAAAAAAAATCCTACAGCTGATATCATGCTTAATGATTTTAAGGCTTCCCCTATAAAATCAAGAACAAAATAAAGATGGCAGCTCTTGCTACTTGTAGTCAACACTGCCCTGGAAATTCTCACCTGAGCAATTTGGCCTCAAAAGGAAATATCAAGTACATACATGGAAAAGAGAAATAAAGCTATCCTGTTTTCAGATGACATAACTTCTGTGAAGAAAATCCTAAGAAATCTGCCAATACAGTATTAGAACTAATAGATGAGTTTAGCAATATCATAGAAGATGAGATCCATATGCAAAAATCAGTTTTATTTATGCACACTAGTAATAAACAAATTAAGATCAATTTACAATAGTATAATATATGTAGGAATAAATTTAACAACAGAACTGCAGAGAAGGTGCACTGAAAATTACAAAATGTTTCTGAAAGAAATTAAAGAAGATATGGATAAATGAAAGACACCCCTGTTAATGACTTGGAAGATATGTATTGTTAAGATTGCAATACTCCCCAAATTAATTTAATCTAATTCCTATCAAAATCTCAGCTGCCTTTTTTGAAGAAATTGACAAGCTAATCTTAAAATTCATGTAAAAATGTAAAAGGCTCTGAGAAGCCAAAACAATCTTGAAAAGGGAGAACAAAGTTGGAGGATGCAGCACGGTCATCAAGAGAGTGTGGTACTGTCCTAAGAAGAGACATAAAGATCGATGGAATAGGATTAAAAGTCAAGAGCTAAACCCATGCATTTCCAGTCAGTTGATACTTGATAATGATGCCTTGACAATTCAATAGAGAAAAAGTAGTTATTTTCCAGTGATGATGTTGGAAGAATTGGATATCCACATGAAGGTACAGCCAGATATCCCTAGATAAAAGAATGAAACTGTACCTCTCTGCCTTATACAATCTACTACAAAGATTAATTTCAAATGGACTAAGGGCCTGATGTAGGAGCTAAAACCATACAGCTGTTAGTATGAAGGAATCTTAGATATAAATATTTATAACCTTGAAGCGATACCAAAAGCACAAGTAACAAGGGAAAAAATAAACAAATTGGACTTCAAAATTGAAAATTCTGTGCATCAAAGGACAATATCAAGAGAGTTGGGAAGGAGAAAAAAAGTTAAAACCCACTAAGTGGAATAAAATATTTGTAAATAATATATCTAATAAGGGTCAAGTATCTAGAATATATAAAGCATTTTTATAACACAATAAGCAATAACCCAAAATAACCCAATTTTGCTAGGAAAAATTAGCCCTAAATACATATTTGTTGAATAGATAGCCAAATGATAGAAATTAACAAAATAACAGTCCCTGTTAGTGTGTTTTACTGTGGGTTAAGGTTATGGTTAAGGTGAATGCAATGGTAAATAGGTTTTTTTTTAATATTATTTTTAACACTTCTTTTATATTGGACTAACACCTAAAGTACATAAAGATATTAATGTGCAAATATTCTTTGAGAATTAAGTAGGTATTTTGTTTTTGTAAATGATCACACCACTTAAATGAGAAGCTCACATTTGCAAAGAATTTTGTTATAATTTTGTGGTTTCCTGTGTTCTGATACCATTCTTTGTCTGTAATAGTATGCTAAAGAGGCTGAAAAAGTAGAGCAATTAGGTCTTATAAAATTAGATGGAAACTTCCTTGGAAAGAGAAACGTTTTTGGTGTCAGTCATTTCTACCACATTTCAATCTGGACAATCTTGATTACAGAGAAAACAGATTCAAAAAGCTTTCCTTTGTGATATCTCTAAGAAATCCTTATGTGTGTGATTAATGTTTTTCAAGAGAAAAGGATTTTTTAGACCACAAAAACTAAATCTTGAATTAAGAGTAACAGCAGATCTAGATTTAAATATTAGCATTAGGATGGTGTTATAATAGATATTTTCTCTCTACAAAACTATGCAATTTTGTGATACAATTAGTGATGCTTTCCTTTTGAGACTGTAGTAAAATTGCTCATTTAAGTAATGATGCTATTAGGCAACCATCTGTAATAAATTTGTCTTTATAGTCTATCTGAAATCCTGTTCTTGAATACCAAAAAGTTATATTAAATAGTAAAACATTACATTTAAAAAAGCAACTAGTCCTGGAATGAAAATTTAATTTAAAATTATTTCTGCTGATTAATCAGTGCTAAATAATTGAGATATAAAAACAGAATGTATTCTAATAGGTACTTGGCAGAACTTGGTCCTAGAATTCGTATTTACTCTTGATATAAGGAAATAAATAAGCATGTAATTCCCAAACAGAATAATCTGGTTTCTTCTTGATCTTCAGAATAATTGACCATCTGGTTATTGTTTGAAATATCCTTCTGTAGTAAGCTGGGAGTTGGGGAAGCAATGGGGAGGGAGCAATAGTATCTATATTTAAATCTATTTCTCTGTAAGCTTTTATGCTATACTTTTCAAACTAAACATTTTTAGAGCCCAGTTACCCAATTGCCATCAATGTTGTTTATTTACAATATTATTACAATTGAAAAGGCTTCAAAAGAGTGGTTTAGGAAACAGGTGTTTATGCTGAGTTGCATTAAGATCTGATTTGAGTTCAGTCAGCATTGTTGGCCTATATTTGAAGGAATCAACCAGGATGTGTAATCAAATTTCCTCAGTCTTGTCTTACAGATCTAAGATTGTACAGTGAACTCTGATGAATAAGGAAGGGTGCACATAAGTTTAAAATAGTCATATTACAGGTAATAAATTACGGCAGAGCCCAGGTTTTAAGCCTGCTGAATCTCACATATGGGAGAGGATGAACAAGCAGATGGCTGAGGATACCCTGGGGCTACAAGAGACTGGGTCTGCAATGTTCAGGAGGGTGCAGAAGGATTTTTTTTTTTTTTTTTTTTTGGTAAGAGAAAGAACCATTGTATATTTTGTATTGAGGTAAAATTCACATAACAAAATTGAACATTCATAGTATTCTAATTTTTTTATTTGCATAAAATCAGTAGTAATACCCCCACTTTCATTCCTGACTCTAATAATGAGTATTTTTTTCTTGGTCAGTCTAACTAAAGGTTTGTTCATTTTCTTTATCTTCTGGAAGAACCAACTTAGATTTTTTTTTAATTGTCTCTGCTGTTTTTCTACTCTATATTTCAATTATTTTCACTCTAATATTTATTATTTTCTCCCTTCAGCTTGTTTTGGGTTAAATTTGCTCTTCAATTTTTAGTTCCTTAAAGAAAAAATATATGGTTATTGACTCAATGTATTTCTTTTTTCATATAAACATTTGCAGTTATAAATTTACCCCAATCACTGCGTTTCCTGCAATTCATAAATTTTGATATGTTTTCATTTTCATTTATCTCAACTTACCTTCTGTTTTCCCTTTGGTTCCTCCTTAATCTATTTGTTGTTTGGGTATTTTGTTTGGTGTTCACTTATTTGTGAATTTTCCAGTGTTTCTTCTGTTACTGATTTCTAACTCAGTTCACTGTGATCAGAGAAGATACTTTGTATGATTTAAATGTTCTAAAATTTATTGAGACTGGTTTTGTGGTCTAACATATAGTCTGTTCTGCGGAATGTTCCATGTGCACTTGACAAGCGTATGTACTCTGCTACTGTTGAGATAAATACCCTATATTTGTCTGTAAGGTATAGTTGGTTTATAATGTTCAGGTCCTTCGTTTCCTTATTGTTTGTATGTCTAGATATTCAATCCATTATTGAGAACAGGGCCTTGAAGTCTCCAATTTAGATTATTATTGAACTATCTTTTTCTCTCATTGAGTCTGTTACTATTTGCTTCACATACTATGGGTATCTGATGTTTAATACATATATGTTCGTAATTGTTCATCTTGGTGAATTGACACTTTATATAATGGCATTTTGTCTCCTTCAACAAATTTTATCTTACAGTATATTTTATCTGATATTAATATTACTACCCTAGGTCTTCTTTGATTATTATTTACATAGAATATCTTTTGGTACCTATTTGTTTCATTAGATCTAAGGTAACTCTTAGAGACAACATATAATTGGATCATCTTTTAAAAAAACCTTTTCCACCATTTTTACCTTTTAGTTTACATTTAATGTAATTACTCACAAGGAAGGACTTGTTCTATTTTGTGATTTGTTTTTATATATTTTATATCTATTTTGTTTCTCAGTTCCTCCACTGCTGCCTGCTTTGTGGTAAATCAATAGTTTCTAGTGTGTCATTTTGATTCCTTTCTTGTTTCTTTTACTGTATATGTTTCAGTTATTTTCTTAGTTGTTGCCCTGGAGATTACAGTTAATTCCCTAAATTTATAACACTTTAGTTCAAATTAATACCAACTTTGTTTCAGTTGTATATAAAAACTTTGCTCCTATAAACCTTTATGCCCTCTTGTGTGTTTTTATTGTTGCAAATTGTGGATTCATTAACACAGATTTATATTTATTGTTTTATGCATCTGTTTTATAAATTGTTTAGGAAAAAGGAATTATAAATCTAAAATTCATTAATACCAACTTTTGTATTTATCATTGTACTTACTTTTTCTTTACATGCATTTGAGTTATGGTCTATTGTCCTTTTATTTCAGCCTAAAGAATTCCCATTATTTCATATAGGGCAATTCTTCTGGTGATAAACTCTCTCCGTTTTTGCTTATCTTGGACTGTTTTAGTTTCTTTTTCGATTTTAGAGAGTTTTTTTCTATATAGATTTCTTGGTTGCCAGAGTTCTCTTCCCTTCCCTCCGCTCTCCCTCAAATATATCATTCAATTTCCCCCCCCCCCAACCGGCCCCAGCCACCCCTGTGGCCTCTGATAAGGAATTAAGTTTTAATCTTACTGAGGATCTCTTGTACATAATGAGTTGGTTTTCTCTTAATGCTTTCAATATTTTCTTTACTTTAAATAGTTTGATTATACTGTATCTTAGTGTGAGTCTCCTTAAGTTTATCCTACTTTATCCTTGAGCTTCTTGGATGTATAGATTCATGTCTGTCATCAAATTTGGAAAGTTTTAGCTATTATTTCTTTAAATATCTGATTCTTTCTCTTTCTCCTGTCTTTCAGACATTCCCATTATGTATATGTTGGTTTGAAACAGGTCTTTTAGGCTCTGTTCATTTTTCTGCTTCTCAGTTGGCCTTATCTTCAAGTTCACTGATTTGTTCTTCAGCCTGGCCAGACACCTCCAGTTGTTGAACCACTTTAGTGAATTTTTCTGAAATGAGAAATTTTATTACACTTTATCAGAATTCCTATTTGATCTCTTTTTATTATTTATCTGTTTATTCATATTCTGTATTTAGTGAGACATTATTTTAGTTGACTTTAGTTCTATAGTGTCTTTTAGCTCTTTGAGGATAAGACAGTTCATTTAAAGACTTTGTCTCTGATGTTCTATAGCACTGCAGGAGGAGTATGGTTAACAATAATATACAGTTTTAAATAGCTAGGAGGAGGATACTAAATGTTGATAACATAAAGACATTATAAATGTTTGAGGTGGTGGATATGCTAATCACCCTGATCTGATCACTACATATTGTATGCATCATAACATCACTGTGTACCCCATAAGTAAATACAATTACGTGTCAAAAATTTTAAAGTATCAGAATTTGCAAAAAAATTTTAATAAACTTTATCTCATAAAGTTAATGCCTGGATGTCTTCAGGTATTGTTTCTATTAGTGTTTTTTTTCATCCATATGGACCCTATAAACTTATTTCTTTGCATGCCTCATATTTTTTTTAGAAGCTGAATATTTTGAATATTATGGTAAATCCAAAAGTCAGATTTTCCATCCTTTCCAGGCTGGTTTGTTGAGTGACTTCTCTGAACTAATTTTGTAGTCTGCATTCTTTGTTTTCTGAGGCCACTGAAGTCTCTTTTCTGTTGATTTAGTAGTCAGGTGATAATTTGTCAACAGAGATTTTCATACAGATTATCAAAAATACTTTTAAAAAATCTTACATTGTTTGCAGATGAACTGCATGTTTGTGTGTTGAGTATGTCTTCGACACACATAAGCCTATATTTCCTGCTTGTGCAGAGCCTGAGGTCAGCAGGAGAAGAGAGCTTGGGCCCTTCTCAGGCCTTTTCTGAGGATGTTCTTTCTGGCTTCTAGTCCCAAAAATATATTGGTACTTTTCAATGCTCATATTTCCCAAATCATCTCATTTCCCATTCTTTCTTCCTAGTCTTTTTGATTCATCTATTGTTTGTCTTAACCATTATTTTTTGCTCCACATAGCACTGACTAATCCATTTGCCTTTAAATGTTTTAGATAAATGACCCCCAGGTAGCTTTGTCAGCCCCAGGAAAATTACCAGTTGTGTAAAACAAAAGCAAGCCCGTTGAGCCAGTCTTTCGGGATCCACCAGCCAGGTCAAAATAAACAACAGTTCTTTAAAAATAAGGTCTATTGTGCTTCTATAGTACTAGGTACCTGTACTGAGCATGCAGATGCCTTCAAGGCCACCACTGAGCTGAGGAATATGAGACGGGTCAAAAGGAAGTTAAAATGCTGCTCTTTTACTAAGATTCAGCTGTTTTTTTTTTTGTTGTTGTTGTTGTTGTTAAGTATTCCTCTCATTTCTGTAAGCCCTAGTTAGTTTCTAGAATTCCAAAAAGTTGACTCTAACAGTTTTTGGTTTGTTGATTGTTTTTATGGACTGGCGGACTTTTGGAGTTCCCTATTCCATCATTTTTGATGACATTGTATTTAAATTGCCTATTCATTTATATTTACTAACTTATATTAAACATGAAAACAGGTAGATAACTGTCATTTTCATCACTGAACCTCTGGTATTTAGCAAAATACTGACACATAACAGAAGCTAATGTTTACTCTCACATCCTAATTTGTTATCAAAATTTTTCCAAATTCCATTTTACCCTCCTCCTTCCAGTTTCTGGGATTCTATATCAACAGTAAAACTTTTTCTTGCTGGTCGTAACCATCAGAAAGACATGTTTAACCAATTGGTCAATTAAATCTTGCCTCCATGTGCTAGATTTTGTGGGGGGCTTAGAAAATAATAACATCTCCCAACTTCAGAAAGATTTACAGGGGTACAGGAAATACCAACTGAGTAATAGTGATAATTGGAGAAAATTTTGTGGCCTGGGATTATCAGACAAAAATGTAAATCAGATGAGGTTCCTGAGAAGAATCTACAAGGATAAGTGGGATTTGAATCATTTTAGATAGATTAAATGGCATTCAAAGGTACAAGCATCTAGATTAGAGAGAAAGGAGCATATCAGAAAGTAGAGGAGATGGGGCATGTTTGGAAAGACATATTCCTGTTGTGCTTTTTAAAGATGATATGGCTCTGAACCAGCTGCTAGATAGTTCTATTTTGGTAAAATATTGTAACTGAAAAAAGTACTCACATAAGCGTAAGAAGATAGGAGTTCTGGGGTGATTCTGCTACTCACTGACTGTTTTGCTTTAGGTAAATGACTCCCCTCACTGGGCCTCAGAATTGTCTTTTTTTTTTTTTTGTAAAAGCTTACAGTCTTTAAAATATCTACTATAAGGAATAAATGCTGGGAAATAAACAGCAAATAGCACCTTGATGAATTATGTTAATTATCTTTTCATTTATCTCATCAAGTCCATCTTTACTCCAATTTGGCAAAGGTTATAGCAAAATATGACATTTATCATGTGAGTAGCTCATAAAATGGGAGTGGCTATACTTCTGAATTGCTTTCACATCACCTTCAAGGCATATGATATTTAAATATCCTGGGTTTGCTCTCTACGAGGTTATCAGCTGATGGTTCCAATTTTACAACTGGAAAAATGAAAACCTTGTCCTTGTAAGTAGTCCTAATAGAAATGTGACTTACTCTATGCTCAACGGGCTACAGAGAAACAACAAATATTATGTTGTATTTTAATTACGTATGTGTAATTAAGAGAGAAAAAAAAATTTTTAAAGTCCGTTCCTTCTAGGCTTAAAGGTGTATTTAAAATTTTGTAGTAAACAAATAATTGTAAGTGATGATTTTTCCATATTTCCAAATAAGATAATGTTGAACAGACCTTATAATGAATTTTATATTTGATCTCTTTTTGGTAAATATAGGTGTCAAAACTAAGTTATATATTCTTCTTTCCAAAAATTCTCCCCTTAATGAGCACTTGCTTTTGATACTGGTCAAGACATTTGGCATACTAAGGGGGCAGTGCCCAGGAAGATACCTCAGAAGACAAGCGTGCACTCCCCTTATCTCCCTTTTTTTCTTTGAGGTTTTAAGATCAAGATATAAGTTATTTTAAGGTCTCAAAATAATCCTTTCACAAAAATACGACAGTTTTATGTTGTAAAAACATTAGTTATTTGTCAAAGGTTATGTTCTTCGGTCTTCTTCGGTCACCAGCTGTCAGCATCTCCTGAAGATCGGTTTTTTCTTCATAATGACACCTGCATGCGGCTCGCTGGCTGTCCAGATGTGGTTTACAACCTAAATGTATAACACTGTCAAACAAGAGTTCCACTGTTGTTTCACAGGCCTGAACATGCTGAGTTAGTCCTAGTGTTTTCTGTACATCTCAACAGATCTTGGAGAGGCAATACTGGAACTCCTCGTCGCAGTCATTCTTGCTTTTGCCACAGGTCTCATAGCACATGAACACCGAACAGTGGAGAGCCACATCCATTCGGTGGGGAGGGTTTATAACCATAACGTGAGAATTGTCTTTTATACACTAGTGGGATCAGAATAGGTAATGCCTAGAGGTTCTTTCAGCTCTAACCATAAGATTTGACTTGCTAACAGTCTTGCAGCCATTCTTACCTTCCTTCTTTTTTTTCATCATTCTTCCTTATTCCATCTACCTTCAATTAGAGAAAAAAGGAAGTGAGAAAAAAGGAAGAACAGTTGAGATATGAGAACTCATGTAGCTCATGGGAACTGACAAAAAAATACTTGTCAATATATTTAGAACGCAGTTGTGAATTTTCTTTCTTGTAATAGCAATCACTTACTACACTCATAATAATCTTGTTACACTTCATGTCTGATAAGTGTCTGAAACCTATTCCTGTGCCAGTGATGGCAGTCTTTTTAGGTGTTTATCTAAAATTCATCCACTGATCAAGAAGTAATTTTAATTTACTTCTGAAAGTGAAATTTTGAGAAACTAATGCAAAGCTTAATGAACATGGGGACTTGTCACCATTAAATGCAGAATGACAGAAACCTCCAGTACTTTTTGAATTGTTAGCTCTCAGGACTCTTATGTCAATAATTGATTGGCTTTACACTTACAGGAAGTGTCACCTCGTACCTTTTATCACAAGCATTTATTCTCCGGAATTTCTATGAGCACAGTAAGATTAATAGCAATTAGACTCTAATGAAGAAACTCAGGACATTAGGATTATTACAATTAAATTAATAAAACAGAAGACAGAATGGCTTCAGGATATATATTTTCATTCATTTTTATAAACAGAAGAGATGCTGCAAAATCTCATACAAATGCAAATGTTCTGAAAGTGGAAAACTATTATTAGAAGCCTTGTATTCCTGTCATCAGCATAATAAGAATTCAAAAATCTACCTGGCAGGCTAGAGCAGTCAACCTACTGGAAAGGTACCTGCACCAATCTCAGAGCTGCTACGAAAAATTGTTTAGAGCAGCAGTTCTCAAACTTTACCTGTAATCAAAATTACAGGAAAAGTTTGTTAAAATAGATTATTGGACCATCCCTGAAGAGTTTTGGAGTCACTAGGTCTGGGTGGGATCCAAGAGTTCCAAGTTTCTAGGTAAAATTGATGCTCCTTGTTTGGGAAGCATGGGCATCAATGGCAAATAACGTCTAAATTGAGACATGGAGATACAGGATTTAGAAAAACACTGTTTTTAGGTAGGAGGAAGGATGGTGAGGAAAGCTGAGGGCAAAGGCCCAGATAGAGGATAACTGCATGTCATCCAGAGGGACCTGTGAAACTGTAGGATATAGAGAATGGGGAGATGCAGCTGCAGAGGTGAGGGGAGCCAATTTTTAGAATTGTTCTACCATACTAAATTTTGGTGGAGAGCCAGTGATTGTAAACAGGGAAGCAACATGATCAGATGTACAATAGTGAAAGATCTTGTTGTCCATCAATAGGAATGAGTTGGTAGCCAGGAGCTGTATAGTGGCAGTGAGGATGAAGAAAAGTAGAAGTTAAAGATACTTAAGAGGTTGACATTAAATTCTTAATGATTCATTTGATTGCTAGAATGTGGATAAGGGAGAAAAATCAAAGTTTAATTCCTAAGCTGCTGCTTTGTACGGTTAGACAGGGCTGTAACACAACAGCAAAGATTGGAGAAAAGCAAAGGCAAAAAAAAGGAGAAGGAAGGAGTGGAGAGAGGAGTGATTTTTGTTTTGGGCCCTGCTGATGTCCAATAGCAGGGATTGAGCTCAAGAGAGTGATCTGAACTAGAGATGTACAGGTGGGACTTGCTGGCATAGAGATGATAACTGAGAAAAGGAACCAATATGTAGTGAAAATAGAACATTGCCACATTTAGGAGATCCTTGGAAACACTGCCATTTAAAAGGCAGAGTGAGGAAGAGAAGTTTGCAATCGAGACTGAAAAGGAGCTAGCAAAGAAGTAGGAAGATAGAACTAGGAAGAAAACCAAGAGAATGTGACATAATGGAAGCCGAGGGCTCCAGCCATACCAGAAACTGGGGAGAGATCATGTAAAATAAGAAGTGAAGGCCGGGCGCGGTGGCTCACACCTGTAATCTCAGCACTTTGGGAGGCCGAGGCGGGTGGATCATGAGGTCAAGAGATCGAGACCATTCTGGTCAACATAGTGAAACCCCCTCTCTACTAAAATACAAAAAATTAGCTGGGCATGGTGGCGCGTGCCTGTAATCCCAGCTACTCAGGAGGCTGAGGCAGGAGAATTGCCTGAACCCAGGAGGCGGAGGTTGCGGTGAGCCGAGATCGCGCCATTGCACTCCAGCCTGGGTAACAAGAGCGAAACTCCGTCTCAGGAAAAAAAAAAAAAGAGAAGTGAACAGTGTCAGTTCTTGGAGGAAGGTCATGGATAATGCAAGTACAAGTTCTTATGGTACAGAAATGTAGAGAAAATAAGAAAGCAGAGGCAGATGAATATAATGACAATTTCTGGGTTGCCCTTTTTTTCATTTCAGAATAATTTCCATGAATGTATCTGCTATTAAAAATGAAATGGAATGCATGCTTTGGATATGCCTTTTCATATTAAATTTTTGAATTTCCTGCAGTCTTCTCATATATATTGGGCTTTTCTTCAGAAATAGTGAAACGTGAACTGATAGTCTCTTGAAGATTTATCTCTGAAAAAATAATGAAAAAGTAATCCATATAGGAAGTCCAATGATGTGATTTTTTTCTACAGTTGTATTTCATACAAATGCATGTCTGTGTATTCTTTTTTATAATTTGGCTTCTAAGCTTATTTTAAGGCAATCCTAGAAAAATGCATCTTACTCCATTTTACAAAAACCAATATCCTGAAATTCTTACGTTGAATTGTAGAGTTGTGTTTATTATGTTTTCTATTATTTGAAAGCCAGTAAAATCAACAATGGGAGACTCATGAGGGATTTTGCTCTGTTTTTTTCTCTCTTGAAATGAGATTATGGGGATTTATGACAATCTTGAATTTTCAAGCTATACAATAAATACCCAAAGGGCCATCTGGAAAACATGAACATTTCTGGTAATTTAGAAATGGAATTTCTTGAGTAAAAGATTACTATAACTGGAATCTTAGATTTCCTTTGCAAAAGACCGAACTTAACTGATTAAGAAGTATTTTAAACGAAGCAGTTACCTAACAAATCCACTATTAGCTTTCTATGAGATTTAAAATTTCAGTGGGAATTGTGAAACTCTTTAAGTATCAGAAAAAAGAGTATTTCTCACATTTTGTTCATGGAAAGAATATATAGATCATAACTATTTTTCTGGAAAGCACTGTTTCTTAACCTGATGAAAACTCATTGCCTTAACTTGAAAACTCCCTAGAGTTCCTGGGTATTGAGAACCAGGCTTTTCTTCCTGCCAACCAGTTCCCCCTACTGTCCCTAAAGACAGCTTACATTTTTCAGCTTTTGATTTCTGTTAATTAGAATATCTCCTTATATCTTTCCACTTTCCTTCATTTCTACCTATTGATGTTCCCCAAACCCCAGATCAAATACTACCTATCCTGTTGGGTTAGCAGACTTGCTAGCCACCTCAATATATAATGCTAGCTTACTTCTAGTTATATTGTAAGCTTCTAGGAGACAATAATTACATCTTATACCTTCCATGTTGCCTAGCATGATGCCTAACATATGGTTGTCACTATTTAAATCTTTGTTCATTATATTTATATTTAAAATGTTCACATTAAGAGTAAAGCTAGAATTTGGAACACGGATGTTCTCTTTTTCTGCCCTTGACCAACTATGGAAGAAAAATGGGTCAGGTTCTCTCTGGAGAATGTAGTCATTCAAAATTTAGAATTCATCTAGGTTAAACCAGAAACAAATATGTGTAAATTAAGATTACAAGTTTCTCCTACAGAAAATAAGATTGGAACTGGCAAAAATATTTTCCAAAAAAAATTTCTTACTTCTAGGTAGAATTCTTGAATCTTAATCTGTCAGTTACAATGGAAGTCTTCTTATCCAGCATAACTGGACTTAGTATTATATTTGGTCAATTTGTTAATGAAGTTTTTTAAAGTAGAAAAACATTTAAAAAGTATGTTGATACTGTAATTTGAAACACAAATAATCACTTACCAGTCTTTGAAATAAGGCTTCTTTTGGACTGTGGGTTTGATATTTAGAGTTCATTGTTCTCTCTATAGCACAAATCCCCAAAATGTATTGTCTATTGCATTGTGTCAAATTTTTTTGAAGTAATCTGAGTGTAGAATTTTTCTAGCTTTCTGTTTATTGACCACTCTGTATTTTAAAATTTCTTCACTTTTGCTAACATTTTAATGTTTTAGTCTTTCCAAAGCATTCAAGAGATATTTCATAGATATGTCTCCTTGATTTCATAATCATTTTCTGAAATATAAATATTAAAATATTTATAATATATGAAATATATAAATATTAAATAATTTTTTTTTGATACGGAGTTTTGCTCTTGTTACCCAGGCTGGAGTGCAATGGCGCGATCTTGGCTCACGGCAACCTCCGCCTCCTGGGTTCAGGCAATTCTCCTGCCTCAGCCTCCTGAGTAGCTGGGATTACAGGCACGCGCCACCATGCCCAGCTAATTTTTTGTATTTTTAGTAGAGACGGGGTTTCACCATGTTGACCAGGATGGTCTCGATCTCTTGACCTCATGATCCACCCACCTCGGCCTCCCAAAGTGCTGGGATTACAGGCGTGAGAATAAAAATTATTTTATATTTATATATTAAATAAAATTATTATACATTAAGTAATCATGTATAATTTGAGAATAAATACACCTGATTCATAACAAATAGTAATTAAACAAGTTGGAAAAGAAGTGCTTAGGCATAGGGAAGAGTAATAGCATGTTACCTGCCAGTGTTAGCGTGCACTGTGAAATGGATGGCACTTAATACATTGCATATAAGGAATGGAGAGTAGCTGTTAATCTGAAGAACTGACTAAATGGAGAGTGGCTAAGAGACCTGTTGCACTTTTGTTTGTTATTATATTTATGACATTGTTCTGCAGAAGAATTGAGAAGTATTTTATTAATAATTCAATAACTTTACCCTCTGTCCTGAAGGACAGTGGGGTTAAAGACGTTGGGTGGGGAGGAGTAGAAATGAGAATAAGCTGCAGAATAACTTTCTTTACTGGAT